AAAGAATTTGAATTTTCAAGAAATTGACATATTAAGTGGAGAAAATTTAATAAAAGTATATTGGTAAAAGAGCATAACAAAATATTCTACATTATGTATGAATTTCGTATTATTAATTCTCAATTAATTAACATTCACATTAATCTAGAGTTATTATAGATGCATTTATTTCTATTCATATATCTAAAAAATTTAATAGATGTTTAAATTCATGTATTAACAATTCTTATGTACTAAATGTAGTATAAAAAAAGTTGCTCATTTGTACTATTTTATCATCACAAAAAAATTTGAATCATAGAAGTTGAATTTTGAGAATATATTTTTCTTTTATTAAATTTTTATCCTAAATTTTATTTTCTTTAGCTTGTTTGAAACTCATCAAATCCTCCAAAAATATTGGTATCAGATATTACTTTTACAACACTTATAAAATATTTCAAAATAACGTGCAATGCACGTTGATCTTTGACTAGTTTACATAAATGTATGAATGACACTATTTATCTTCGTTAGAAATGATAATCGCTAATGGAGATAAACAACGTTACTCTAAATATATTCACATTTATTAGACCAAAAGCGTAGACATCCTCTCTCTTAAGAAATATTTTAACAATTATCAAAATAGCATCTTCATTGCATATACTCACCTGAGAATCTTTAGTATGTAGAAATCTCGAACGTATGGATGACAAAAAAATCCTACAAATCCGATACCCGCGGAACCCTGCCCCGAACGGGGAGGGGATTACCCTCTTAATCGGGTATTCAGGACGGGGCGGGTACGGGTAAGGGTGTCTCGCACCGTTTAATTTTTAATTTTTTTTTAATTCAATAATTTAAATGGAAAATTTCATTAATTCTAATAGAAAATAACAACTAAGATCATCTAAAAAATATGACAAACAATATAATCATTAGTTTATCAAATATATTTGAATAATTTAACTTTTTAAAAATAAATTAAAAAATATATATTATTGTCTATCTCTAATGAATTATATTAACTATCACATCAAGTGAAAATCATTTTTGGACGATTTTAACCCTACCACATTTCAATTATTTTAATAATACCTTATTTTTCTTTTTTCAACATGTAATAGATATTACAAAATCATTGTTATGTATGAATTTCGTGTTATTAATTCTCAATTAAGTAACATTCACAGTAATCTAGAGTTATTATAGATGCATTTATTTCTATTCATATATCTAAAAAAATTTAATAGATGTTTAAATTAATGTATTAACAATTCTTATGTACTAAATGTAGTATAAAAAAAAGTTGCTCATTTGTACTATTTTATCATTACAAAAAAATTTGAATCATAGAAGTTGAATTTTGAGAATACATTTTTCTTTTCTTAAATTTTTATTTTAAATTTTATTTTATTTAGTTTGTTTGAGACTCATCAAATCCTCCAAACAAATTGGTATCAAATATTACTTTTACAACACTTATAAAATATTTCAAAATAACGTGCAATGCACGTTGATCTTTGACTAGTTTACATAAATGTATGAATGACACTATTTATCTTCGTT